GTATGATAAGTAACTAATAATCATGAGTTAATGGATTTAAAGCTTCACATAATGCACACAAGTTAGAAAGCACTAAGTTCTGTACTGGTTGTCTTTTACTTCTTCTGAGATCTCTGATTCTGTTGTTAGCTCAACTGCTACATATACATTGATGCAACATCATTTAACCTTCTTGATCTGAGTAATCATTCATTGTGTTTCTCTCCATCACACAGCTGCTGGACTGGGGAGACTAGAGATCTCTCTTGTGAGGCTGGGGAATGGATGGACTCGGAGCAACATACATTGGTATACACCATGGCACTCCCAATATACCCATTCTATGATCATTTCTATTTCAGGGGGTTGCTGCAGAGTTGGTCCTGAAGATATCATATCTCTGAGAAATACAGTTGACCCTCTTCAATCAGAACGTTTTCAGCATACACACAAACTTTCATGACGGTCGTCGTATATAGGTGAATATCTAATGCCGCATGCGCATAGTAGAAAAAGGGGCGTAACTATACTCCGAGCAGCATTGTGAAAAAGTCGTCATGGCGGAAGGCCCAGACCACAGAGACAAGCCGCTGGAGGAGCTGGAGAGAGAGATCACGTGCGCCGTGTGCCAGGAAGTCTACCAGCAGGCCAAGTTGCTTCCCTGCAACCACTACTACTGCTCGACGTGCATCGAGAAGATGGCGGCCGCCTCTCGAGGTAGGCCGTTACACTGCCCCGAGTGCCGCAAGGAGACGAGTCTCCCTCCCGGCGGCGCGGCCGCGCTCGAGCCCGCCTTCTTCGTGGAGAGAATGAAAGACGTGTACGGGAAGATGGCCAAGGCGGAGGGGAAGGTGGAGGCGGTTTGCGAGCAGTGTTCGCAGCCAGTCTGTCGCCTTCTGCCGGCAGTGCGGGGAGATTTCATTTGCGGCGATTGCGCGCAGTCCCACAAGAAAATGAGGGCTTTCGGCGATCACGCTGTCGTTAGCCTTGAAGACCTGAAAAAAGGGTGGCGCAAAGAGCACTACTGTTGAAGGAAGCGCCACAGTCGCATGCGCGGACACGGCGAGCCGAAGAAGCTCTTTTGCTTCGACTGCGACCGCCTCATCTGTCGAGACTGCACCATCATCGACCACAGCGGACACAAGTTTGAGTTTCTGACCAAGTGTGCCCCCGAGAGCAGGAAGACACTGCGCCACTCGCTGGCTCCACTCCAGAAGGTGGCGGCCGACATGGCGGGTGCCGAGAAGACCCTGGTCTCTGAAGAGGCTAAGGTGGAGAGGCAGAAGGAGGAGGTGTGCAGGTCCATCCAGCAGTCGTTTGACAAGCTGAAGACGGTTCTGGACCAGAGGAAGGCAGAGCTGGTGAAGAAAGCCGGCTCACTGGCCCAGGAGAAGAAGGAAGCTCTGGCGGCTCAGAAGAGGGTGCTGCAGGTGGCACAGGGGGAGGTCCAACTTCTGGTGGAGGTTGTGGAGAGGAACGTGGAGGGCACGAGCGACCAGGACCTCATGAGCATCCGGACACAACTGGCGACCAAGATGGAGGAGGAAGAAAAACGTCATCGACAGCTGTCCCTGGAGCCATCAGCCACTGCTGACATCACCTGCAACCTTCCCTCTCCCCAAGTCATTCCCGATGATCTTGGCTCTGTGTCTGACCGAAACACACCGCGACTCTTTACACATTCTCCCAACACTATTGAATTGGGTTCCCCAGTGGAAGTGAGTCTGGCTGGCCCCACAGCCTCCCTGGAAGACGTCTCTGTCAGTCTGAAATGTGTGGCAGATCCATCATCATCACTAGAGGGAGAGGTGGTCGGGAATGGTGTAGGGATCTTCAGCATCTCCGTGACTCCTCAGGTCAGAGGTCGACATGATCTCATAGTGAAAGTGAAGGACGAAGAGATTGCGGGGAGCCCCTTCCGAGTCTTTGTCAAATTACCTCCCTCTCAACTGGGACGAGGACAAGTTCGTAGCATAGGGAGCTTGGAGTGGCCATGGGGAGTAGCCGTTAACAACAAACAGCAGCTGGTAGCTATTGAGAGTGGAGCTTTAGGTGGTGGGAAAGGGGTAACTGTTATGACCAGAAATGGAGAGAAAGTTCAGACCATTGAGTGTAATCAATTCAAAGGTCTTCGTGGAGTAGCAGTTGCTTCAAATGGAGCTATCTATGTCACTGACATTGTAATGCCAAGTGCCTTTTCAAATTCAGTTCAAATGGTGAACTCCTGAAAACAGTTGGTGGTGAGCTACAGAAGCCATACTCTGTCAAGATAATTGAAAATCAACTCTATGTTGTGGACACTGCCAGCCAGTTGGTGAAGATATTTGACATGGACTGCAATGTTGTGGGAACTATCCAAACAAAGGAGTGTCCTGGGCCTGGAGACATAGCACAAGGTCCTGAAGGTCTGTATGTGGCTGGTAAGGGGAAGATTAGTGTGTACAGGTGTGCTCCAAATGGAGTCTTCATCCGCCACCTCAATCTATCACCATCTTCACTGAAGCTCTCTGAATTTAGGGGAATATGTTTTGATACCAGATGTGGTCATATCATTGCTAGTGATCGTGACTATGGTGTGTATGTATTCAAACCCAGTGGTGAGTGTGTTGGTCATGTCAGTAGTGATGTCATCCCTGATCCAGCTGGAGTTACTGTTGATGAGGATGGCTTGTGTTGTAGTGTGCAGTGTACTGGTGGTGTGGTTAAAGTTGTCATCTGTAATTTTAAACGTATACTCTTATGAACTAGAACATTTAGTGTGTGATGATGACATGCAGATATACACATGTAATTATTTAAGTTGATATATTGGCACTACAAGTGAAGATACACGACCAGGGGGTATTAAACTCAGGGGACTGTGTATAACGCACTGAGCATATCACAATTAGCAGATGCATGGGACGTCTCAAGATAGTCTTGTACCCAGACACTGTAGGCAAGCTATTTGGCCGATGGTCAGCAGCCTTGTAATCGCGATATCGTGAATAGGCACCTGGATATGAGTTTTGTTTTTCCAAAGTGTCGCACATGCTTATCTAACATTTCACTGAGCTTACTGAATGAAAAACTACGGTCAAAAGACTGACTGAGGATAGCTTGGTGACTATGCATGAATCGTAATTTATTCTAAACAGGCATTTGCAAAGTACAGAAAATGTAATCATTCATGGTATCTGGTGTCAGTAATGCAGCAGCGCTATGGTTGGAGTCCCAAACGGTCCTGATGACACTTTGACAGTGCAGCCGTAACAGGAGTTAATCAGCTGTGCAAACCCCGTGTTCTGTGACTGCAGGCGGAGGGAAACGGGGGACGGGAGCATGTTAGCTGGGAAAGTGTAAGATAGATTTACAGTGAATATTGTGTGCCATTGGTCTCCAAGGTACAGGCGGGCAAACATTATGACTGAAAAGAACAGTCAGACTCACCTTTTCAACACCTCGTGATAGTTCTGCTCTTCATGCTCGGATGACCTCTCTGTGATGACTCAGGACTGCCATCCACTGTGGACACAGCATATGTATAATATAGTGCAAAGCAGCGAAATCATACACACACCAATAAAAGTAGGACTGTAATCAACTCTCTATCCAGGCAAGCTTACACAAAAAGGTATGTTGGCCATCCCCCAACATGCTATAATGAGATTCATAGTGTATGCAGATAGTGAGATGACTACTCAACTGTTTTCATCGAAGAGTGTGAAGATCATTGTCACCAGACTGTCCTGTAGGTCCATTACAGCCACGGCCTGAGCCACTTGCTCAGGTCACCTAAGAGAAGAAAAAGAGGGGGCAAATAGTACAACCCCTGATGACAGAAAGGGATGCTACTAAAGACACAAAGCATACTGGCAAACAGCAAACCCTTCTACTATTATCCACAGACTACTTACATGGCTCGCTTTTACAGGGAAACATGAGACAGTAGATAATTATACAGTGGAACCTCCGATAAGGGACCCTTGGGATAGGGACGACCTCTCTACAAAGGACACTTCAATCCCATGCCAATACTTTGGTTTGACCTCTGATAGGGACAACCTCTATACGTGGGACAAAATCGTTGGTCCCATAGTGTCCCTTGTTCAGAGGACCCACTGTATATACTCCAGAGGATTGGGAGTGTCAAGTGCTTTCACATGTGGGTGCAAATCACATGAACTATAGATTGCCGTATGTTACCGCATGGACCTGAACCTACACATAATAATAGACGTCTCCCGCTCCCTGGCCATTGTCTAGCTATGTACTGCAGTTCAAAGAGAGAAAGGGTGTGGCTTGTTACCAGGGGTGATGGAGGCTCCGGCAGCCATGTACATACTTAGAGCCATCTCAACGTCTGATATATTCTATACCAGCTCCGTGAAGGCCTGCACATCTTCAAACGATATTCCTTCCTGTGGTAGAGAAATGGGGAGAGATATTAAGTGTGGAACAATAGAGAAATAAGGTTGTTTGTGCCAGCTCTGACCACATACCACCACAAAGGAACGGAGAACTCTTTGAGTTGGTCCTGATTCTCTCACCTTTCTGTCTCCATACTCTCTCTTGACTCTCTTCATGTACTTCTTCCTCTGCTGGTCGTTCATGTCTGAGTACGACAGAACCATCTTGGCAAAGTCCCTCTCGGATATCCGGCCGTCCTCTGGGTCAAACCTGTTGAACTGGTGTATGGGAGAATAGGAGATTTGTAACAATGCGATTTCTTGCAGAGTCCACTAAGTAATGTGGTTCCTGGGATCTGTGGTTGCCGCCCAGCCAAGTTTGTGATTTTTTTTCCAATTCAGCTATGTAGAAAGACTTTGAGAACTAGATAAAAGTGCAGTACAATACACCTCATAGAGTGGAATATTTCATACAATGCACTCAAATTGTATGAAAATGCACCTAAAGACTTAAACTTTCGTACAATGCACCTCATATAGAGTGGAATATTTTGTACTAACAGGGTGGCATAAACTTTTCGTAATTTAGTGACTAGGCAAAGGGAATGACAGGCCAACCAACTATATCCCGAACACCTTTACGTTAGCTGGAGAGTGCAGTGCTCTAAAGTACCTCCAGCCAGAGGAGCTCCGTTCTCAACAGTCTGTGAAATGATCTGAACATCTCGACGGTCAGTTTTCCCTTCTTGTCGGCTCCAAAGAAGTGCTCCACCAGTGCGTCTCCCACTCCTCCGGCCACGTTGCCAGTCACCAGACGGTCTCTGTGACGAGCTCCCACCGACGTGGACGACAAAATCACGTCCCGCACCTGTGGAGAGGGGGAAGACAGACAAACACACGATTGTACACTGTAGCTTCATTTGCTACGGAAAGAGATGCACAATAGTTGAAAAGAGAAAAATATGCGTAGAAAAAGAAGTGGAACACAAAAGCAGTGGGCATAATAACAACGAACTGAGCACTACATGATTGGAGAGGGAAATGAATGCGAAATTTCAGCAGTTAAACACGGATCACGTTATATGAAAGTGAAACTACCTTGTCAAATTCCTTAAAGTCGACCTCCCCGTCTCCATTGAGGTCAAACATCTTGAAGGCAATCTCGAAATGCCTCATTGGTGCTGCAGAGACAAACACAAGCAACATCTCAAATACCTCTTTCATATTTCAATGTCCAACCTCAGTCAATGAGGACATTCATAAATCCTAAGGGATTCAACACAATTTTTTTAAACACCGCACAACTTGACAGTTAGCTTGAGGCTCTAGTAGGCCCAAAAACACATCCCAGACTTTTATACTGTATATACCAACACACACGTGCATGTTCATTTAGTGGACCTTATTTTAGCTGGCTGCCTATTTTTCCCGGGAATAAATTGACTCTCCCAGCTCACTGGAGATGATGGTGAGGAGGAAGAGGTAGTCAGAGAATGAAATTAGACCGTGGTGACCCAGTCTGGCAAATATGCTGGCCTCGTCCAATATGACCTCTGACCTCTCCTTCTTCCACTGCTCAATGTGGAGACTGCGGAACCTGTCCAGACCTAGACCTGAGCAGGGAGGAGAGGGAGAGGGAGAGGAGGAGGAAGAGGGAGAGGGAGAGGAGGAGGAGGAGAGGGAGAGGGAGGGCGAATATTGGAAAGTGTTAGGAACATTCACAATATTATGTCACATTGCCCTAGTGTGGCAGCAAGGCGCGGATAAAATCAATTCCTACGACATTATGTGGTGTAGTGAAATGAGATCGAACGTAGGGTGAACTCATCCTTAGTCTCGTGGGCCTGATGGATTTAGTGCATACATGTCGAGACACACACACAAAAAAGGTGAACAATTCCCTCGTCATCTCTACATGCACACGCATTGACACGTGTCCACAAACGGTGTCCAAGCACACAAAAACCCTTGTTCATTCACAACTTTGTCAAACTAGCAAATTTCCAGTTATCAAACCTTGAGGTTGAATGATGCCAGGTGTGATGGACCTCAGGAAGTCCTCTGGGGTCATGAAAATGTGGGCGGAGCCGTCCTCCTCCTGGATACTGAGAGTTGCGAAATACCTGAAGATTTTGTCGGGCGTTGAGTAGGCCCTGATTCTGTCCTCGTAGGCTATGAAGTGTCGGTCGTGCAGCGAAATTCGCTTCTTTTTCTTCTTCTCTCCCTCTCCCTCGCCTCCACCTCCATCATCGTCTGACGAGGATTCATCGCTGGAACTAGCAACAGCCATATCTGATTCTGCATCCTGTACAGGAATGACATTTGTTGGTAGGCATTATTTGATGTGAAAACGGTGCTTGATGATGACAACAACCACAAACACAGCAAAACTTCAATCGGAAGATTGCACCTGAATGTGCCACAAACAAGTTTTTGCATGCAATTTGGAGAGTGATTTTTGCTCAAACAAAACACCCACTATAATACGCACATTTATCCCTAAACTTTTTCACGCAAAGGAAAGATTAAACTCACAGATAGAGACAGATGTGTAATTGGAATGAGACGTGGGGTATGGGAATGAGACCCACCTTAACAGCAACCACGCCCCCTTCTCCTCCTTCTGCTTTCACACTGGACTTCTGGTAGATGAGGTATAGGGAGCCGAGAGCTGCTGTGGCTGACACTGTGGCCAGAGTTAACAATCTAGCTCTCCTTCTTCCTTCTCCTCCTCCACCAGCACCCTCTCCAGTGGAACTAGTAGCTGCTGTCTGGCTGGTCTCGGGTTGAGTGGAGGCAGTAGAGAAAGAGAGGGAGGGGCGTCCGGAGTTTACCGCTGTTTGGAGGTGTAGCTGACGCGGCTTCGGACGGGGAGACGAGTCAATACCCGCAGAACGGGCGTCAGTCCTGGTCGAAACATCTGTAAAATTTGCGAGGAACACAACACGCACCGAGAGATAGAGGGAGAGCTTGCTAGAAATGGTGTTTGCTAAGGACACAACAGTACATGCAGTTTGTTCTAGCTACACGCAAGTAGTGCTCTAAGGAATCACACACGTAACGATCTACCAAAAAACTTACTTTCTCTCTAATCCCCTGTGTGTATACTGAAACGGAACAGATTACGGGAGACTTCGTAGATTTACGGCATTCCACCAGTGGGCGGGGCAACATTGCTAAGATTACGAGAGAATCCAGAGATTTACGGCATTATTCCAACAGTGGGCGGGGTAAAGCCGTGTCAGATCCCTTTTGGTGAGGCGCAGTCATGGCTCTTCGCTGTATGCTGGGACTGTCTCTAGGGAGAAGGTTCCCGTTGAGCAGAGCAGTGAGACTTTACAGCAGCGGCCAGAGCAGTCAGTGAAGTTGCTTGTACCTGTAGTTGACTTGTTTGCCTTGCCTTGCCTTTCTACCTCGCTACCAAGTTGTTGAGACACGTATTATAGAGTACTCATGGAAGTGTGTGTTTTGTCGATGTTAGAGGCTCTCTGAGGCTCCTGTAGCTATGGTTTCCTGCAGTGCAGCTATGAATCTATGATCGCGATCACCGTTAGCTACACCTCATTAGGTCCACGTAATGATGGGATGTTATCCATCACTATTGTAATCAGTGTTTAGTGAGTGTCATTCTTGACCCACTCTAAGCAGGTGTACTTTTGGATGATTTAGTAAACATTGCCTTCCTGTTTATCGCTTTTAACCAGCCACATTTTTTTACAGTTCCTGTTTATCGCAGTCACATTTTTGCGGCATTCTTCTCCACTTTCAACATGTGGTAACGGGTGTAATTCAATACACTATTGGATAATTTTACAGTTCCTGTTTATGCCTTTTCATTTTTGCGGCATTCTCTCCACTTTCAACATGTGGGTACCAGGGGTAATTCAGTACATAGTGGATGATTTTACAGTTCCTGTTTATTGCCTTTTTCATTTTGCGGCATTCTTCTCCGCTTTCAACATGTAGCAGGGGGTGTATACTATTGGAGCGTTCTATATAGTATATCCTCTCTCTCTCTACTTCGTCCAGTTGAGGTGGGAGTTCGTGAAGGATTCCCAGTTCTCTCTCTTCCTCTCCCGTCTCGGAATGAGACTTGTGACTTTGTCCTCAGACCATTCCTCCAGACCGTGGCCCACGTCACCTCCAGTATCAGGAATGAAGACCCCGGAATTGAGAGGTGCATTCAAACTCATAATGGTAGCTTCACTGACAAGTAAAGAGAGCCGAAACTTGTCAAAATAACGATTTCTCTTTGTATGTATATAGACAGAAATGTCATGCTTACGAAATTTCAAATACACTTAAAACCAGTATAGTTCCAACAAAATATGCATAACCAATTGAGTTGCTCGCCAACAAGTGTTCTATATAGTCAGATGGTAGAAAGTGGAATACACACTTAAAGCAATGAGTTTGAACACTTCTCTGCTTCCTGTCTAGTTTTCATAGCATACAAACATGATTAATTCCAGGTATGTACTTGATGTATATTGCAATGTTTTGTTGTTAATATTGTCATCATTCCTTGGTATCATTCAGACTAATGTGGTTTATGCTGTAGTGTGCTTGGGTAATTTAATACCACCTCCCACATCGTAAACATTGAGTAGCATTTCTTTTGGCCCTCTCCCTCCCTCCCTCCCTCCCTCCCTCCCTCCCTCCATTAGAGTTGTTCTCTATTCACCAGACGGGAACAGAATCTCTAGTTCCACTGGAGTCGACCTTCTGCTGCAGTCCGACTTTCATCTCCATGTGAACGACCTCAAATACCACATCAAAATTCCAACCGACAGTAAGCTATCCCTTATGACCATAGGCACATTGCAACTCTGCTGTGTTGGGGGGAAAATCTCATTCTATGGGTTTGATGGGTGTAGTGAGATAGGCATTCCAAGTTGTCCTTTATTTAGGGGTGTCCACAGATATATATAAACAATGTATGTTAGTGTTGGGTAGAAGATATTAGTGAGATGGGGATAGAGACAGGCATAAGAATGAACTATTCTTTATAGAGAGGTGGCCTACATTTTCAAAAGGTCCATTCCTTCAGCGGTTTCACTGTATAGTATTTTAATACTCTGTGTAGTGGTCAGTGGAATGTTGGATGGAGAGAAAAGTCTGTCTGACGTGAGGAATGTCATTCATAAACTCTACACTTCTCTCAATGTGGACAGACATCAGGTAACACAACACTAACCCTCTTCCTCTTTCTCCTTCTTTTTCTCACTCTTGGCACTCTTATCACCTTATGGTTTCAATCTGTGATATACATACGTAGGACTATACTCTACTACATTGAAGCTTTAGTTAGTACTACATGTCTATCTACTACTACAGCAAATAGACTGGAGATATTTTGTAATTGAGACAAGCCTAGCGGTATAGTGCATGAATACGTCTTCTAGACCATCATGCTCTCTCTCTTATTCTTACATATAGATAAGCCTAGCTGTATAGTGCATAGATACTTTCTAGGCCATCATGCCCTCTTCTCTCTCTTTCTTCTTCTTCTTACTACCCCTCCATTCTCCAGCTATCAAAGGAGAGAGAGCTCCGAGGCCAGCTGGAGGCTCTGGCGTCAGAGCTGGCTCCACTGGAAACCCAGAGACAGCAGCTGGCTCAGAGGTCTGAGAGAGAAGAACCAATGGCGGGTAAACTGACTATAATCATACTAGAACAAATGTTGGCGAGCGAGTGCAAGTATTTGCGTGAACTAGAACAACGTTAAATGTTTCACGCGTAATTAGGAAGTACGGTATGTGCATACATATAATATCTGGATGACTAGGTAGGCATGTTTCCAATTATAGACAGACACACTGTCGACAGAGCCTTCAACTTGCAGCATTTATACAGAATTCGCACCTCCTTTGATGGGCTCTCTACGTTTGCAGTTCTGTGGGCGGGGCTTGGCTGGATGTCCCTCCAGTTTGGCGTCTTTGCTCGCCTCACGTGGGGGGAGTACAGCTGGGACATAATGGAGCCCGTCACACTACT